CAGTCAGGCAACTACTGTAGCCTAGTAGTAAACACAAGTAAGAAAGATTGTGTTGAAACTCTTAGGCATTAAGGTAGAACACACGAACAACTGAAATTTGGGCTTCTGGTATGGAGTCACTAGCAACTATGAATATTAAAAGGCGAGAATTGTATGTATTGTATCGGTTTTCATCGCTTAAATCAAACTTCTTACCAGTTTGAATACATGACAGCAATGTGTTCCACCGCTGGATGCCTTAGGGAGGTGAATGTTTGTGATAGATACAGTGCAATTATTATTTGTTTGATATTTTGCAACCAGCAATACGTCACAGTCCTTGGCGCCCTTGGCAAAGTAAAAAAAAACTATAAGAAAATATATCCCCGATATTTTTGTGCACCGGAATACACAAGAATCAGAGATCCAAAGCTGTAGATGTCCGATCTCTTGCGCACTGGAGCACACCAGTGTTCTGCCTTGAGAGCTTGGATACATTAGTTTTAAAAATCCTACCGGACCGGAAAGGCATGGGTAATGTCTGCTGGTGAAGAATAGGGTGAAACATGTTGTTCTTGACCTGGGCCAGTGGAATCATAGTACACCAGAGGTTCAGGGTATACAGATAGATAATAGGGATACAACCTGGAATATAGTAAATGTTTACGCTGCGGTTGACTCTTGTCACAAAAGAACATCGGGACTGGCTCAGAAAGTTAGAAGAAATCCCTGGTAATAGACTTCTCATTTGTGGGGATTTCAAAGCGCGGAACAGATCATGGGACAGTACTAGGGAAAAAAGACCAGGAACGGCTTTAGCATAGGCTATGATGGATGCAGACGTAGTCTGTATAGACGAAAGTAGGCCAATTAGACAACGAGACCTGGTGATGCAGACTCAGCTATGGATTTGGCGTTTGTTACCCAGTCCATGGTTCTGGACACAAAATGGAGTGTCCTAGGCGATCAAGGTAGTGACCATATGCCATGCTCAGTCTTGATTTCTCAAGCTAGCAAGGTTAGGGCGGTGAGAATGCGCAGGACTTTTAAGTATAAGAGGGCCAGGGACCTTCTTAGACAGCAGAACTACCACCTCTGCTTATGTGTAGCCTCCATGGTGGACCCAAGAAGCAGAACAGGCATCCAGAGAACAGCGAGCAGCAGGTAAACAATTACAGAAAGTGCGAAAGGCACCTCACGGTTACAAGAGGATGCAGAAAAGCTAAAAAAAAATTAGAACAGCAAAAGTAGAAGAGTTCAAGCGTTGTGCAGCAGATGCAAAACAGTGATTAACTAGAGTTAGACCAGTGTAAGGCCGTGATGGGAAGATAACTAGAAGAGATACCCGGAGTATAAGTGACTAGGCAGCAGACTGTGGTCTGGATTTCCTTCACCAAATATGGTGCCACTACCTTAGACGCTGAGATTGGTGGCGTTTCTTAGACAGAGAGCCGACAAAGAGTGGTCACTACCATCCAGAAAGATGGATTAGTTAGTTAGTTAGTTAGTTGGGTTATCCTCTTTGCACTCCGGACATGTCCATAGGTGCTCAGATCCTCCCCTCAGTATGAACCCCAACGTCCGATGGCTAATAGTACCAGTTCTATGTTGATTAACAAGTCTTCTGGCGTGTCTGGTGTGCGTCTCGTTTTTTGCTGTGCCGATCTTAATTCCCAAGTCTGCCATTCTGCGAGTGATGTGGATTCACTGCCACCAAAGTCCTCTATCCTTCCCATTTCTCTGAGGGCATTGATAATATCAGCATGATCCATAGGCTGACCGTCGGTAGTGATAGCGGATCCAGCCAACCTGTCAGCTCTTTCATTTCCATCGACGCCTGCGTATCCAGGAACAAAAATAAAGGTGACTCCACGCACAGTGGACTTCTGTAATGATTCAAGCCATTGTCTTCGCACTGAACTTGCCTTAACCCTCCGGATCATACTCATTGAATCTCTGAGTATACATACACGGGTGTATTTTTGAGTTTCAAGCCAGGCAAACGCTTGCGTCACTGCCATCACCTCCATCGTCATGCTGCTGGTTGTCATGGAGAAGGCGCCGTCGGCTTCTTTGACTGTTCTGCCCGCTGAGCGTGCTGTAAATGCCCATGCGCTTCTTCTTTGGCGTATAACGGATCCGTCTGTATAGATTATTGCATCTGCTTCGTCTGAATTTTCCAGACGAAAGATGGATATGAAGTGGTACGGACAGGAGTTGTCCTTATCAGACATCTAGTATTAGAGTGCGGTGTATTTTTTTAAATATTCTAAAATCTGCCATTATGTAAGGGAATTTAGCAGATAGGAGAGAATTATTCATTGATCAGCATTTTATCGGCGTTACATGTCGCCCATAAAAAAAGACTGACTGCACTATCACATCATACTTGCAGTGGTGCTGTTACAGTGGTAGTGGTAGTAGTAACATGTACTTTTCCCTTAGTATGGTACACCGGAATGTTTGGATTGACCTTCATTTACTCCATTATAATGGTTCATGGTTTGAAATAACCGAGTGTGTATGTGTTGAGGTTTGACATTATATTCAACTCCTCGAAATACGTTGGCCAGTGTGCGATGCATCCTCACAAGTATCTGACAGCTAGTTAAAACAAAGAGAACACACTTCGTAATCTGTTTACAATAATCATTCGTAGGTTAAATTATTTTCAGAATTTCCTGATTTAAAATATTCTCGCCCTCTGTTATACAGGAATATGTGCATAGTTGTAACGTCGATATAACCATATTAGATGAAACAGCTACATTTGTGTGGGATGTCTGTATTTCAACTTTAAAAAAAAAAGAGGAGATAGAGAGAGAGAGAGGGGGGGGGGGAGATAGATTCGAAAACGAAGTTTCATTTTGTTTGTGTTTGGCATACACAATCTAACAATATAAATAATAAGAATACATTTACTGTGGCCAAAACAAAATCGCCTTTCATGAAATAAAGTAGTCATCCACAAATGCACTAGTCATCTTTAATCCGGCAATATGAGGATCAATCCTGCATGAGCTGGTATACACAACAGGTGTGGAAAAGTCTAATGTATAAGATGGGCTGGGTCTTCGAATTTATGTTAGTAACGTTAAATTTATTGCGAAAAATCAGACAACGTATGTGCGATGACTGATGTCTGACTGTGAGGCTGATCGCTTTAGTTAAAATATTGATCCTCATAAACGTACTCTATCAGTTCAAATATCTCAAGAGCTCTTTCCGAGTTGCAAGCAAAATTAATGTTCACCACTGGCTAAAAGCTGCATACGTAACAACGCAACTTTCACTAGCTAAATGAAATTTTGAGGTGATGGGGTGGGAGGGGTTACTAGTCAACTGCTCCTCCTCTAAAAAAATAGTCTTGGGCAAAAAATTTACAATAACATTAGCAGGTTTTGTTATTCAGGCAAATGCAAAGTAAATCGATTACCTTTCTGAGAAGCGTCGTCTACAAGAATAATCTCAGAGATCAGCTCTTCCGGACCAGCATCCAGAATACTGAAAATAGTTCTCATCAGCGCTGACCACATTTCATCTGTAAAGATGAGAACTATACCAGCTGTCGGCAGAGCTGCTGTATCGTATGTTAGGTTCTTGCATCTGTTTGAGTTTAAACAAACATGGCATATACAGTGAGGCCCATTAATATACTACAAAGGGAAATAAAATGAAAACTTCAAGCGTATGACAGAAGTTGCAATAATCCTACAACTGTATTGCAACCTATCAATATAGTTTTGAGACGCCAAGAGTATAAGTACATGACATCAGGATGCAGACAACTGTCGCGTTATACTGACAGTTTAACGATGGCCGTTTCATTTTTGACGTCAAGCCAGTTGTCCCTTCTTTACGGAAATCTGTGTACTGACAAAGCTACCTTTTTTTTTTCTCTCAGATAACTGGTACCCATTTTAGATCAGTCGACCTGAGAGCCAATGTCAGTAATGACAAAAGTCAGTCTAGATGCAGACTAGATTTCACGTGTTGGCATTATATTACGTGCTAGTGTATTTATTTCAGAGTGACAGGAATATTTGCTCTCCGTTACTGTGTGTTTTTCCTTTTGTTGTTTGCTGATGAAATATTTTAGCGGCAAGGGCATTTAATTACAGTAATTCTACTTTAGTAAATTTGACCTATGTTTTGCAGATTCTGTTTATTTGTACAAGTGCACCTATGGTAGGAAAGTGCAGGAGGTGGGAGAGCAGGCGAAAGACCTAGCATTTTTCAAGCAGACCGTGTCTAAAGCAACGTTCTGCAAAGGAAGTGCTGGCTGGTGATGACATTCCAAAGTAGAGACGCTGTGGCGTAGGCGCTAGAAGATCGGCTCGGGCCCGTATGTAGTTTGTTCAAATCTGCATCAAGTCAGATGTTTTTTTTCTCTCCAAAATTACCTTGGCCTGCTGTTTTACTCAGCCTAAAATGGATAAAAGAAAAATTTCTGGAAACTAAATGTGGTTAGCATAATGTTGACTATGTCACCCACAGAATGCCGTTTGATCTGTAAAATATAGGTCTAACGCGATTGACCCAATGCGCCTAAGGGGGTGAGTCATTATTCATCACAGAGTGGTGATTCACGCCATGCTGGTATGAGATCTGTGGTTGGAAAAGGGTGGGGGTGGGGGGGGGGGGAGTATGAGTCAGTAGTAATCTGTGGGTAAGCACACCTAATTAAAATAAGTGAGCGGTGGTGTCACAGCGCAGCTGCCGGTTACCCCGCATCTTCGTATATCGATGCCGCCTAACGTTGGTAGTCAGCTCTTGTCACAATCTTGTCACCCTTGACTTGATGCAAAATGGTCTATCCGCTCTTCTGGTCTCCCTCTGCTTCTTTCCTCCAACCTTTTCTTTGTCAAAACGCAAACATTTTCTTCAAGAGTTTGAAGTAGGGAGAACAAAGTTAGCTTCCCCTTTCAATGACTTCCTGTTAGTGCTTCCTACTTCTTTTTTCAAACAAAGACACAAAGCGAGTCAGACAGATTTCTGTCAGCTCATATCACACAGTATACCATAGGAAGTGGTCATAACTGAAGTCTCCATTATGTGTTTGAGATCTCTTTAAGGACTGAGGGAATAATTAATAGCAATCTGTTTTGATCTATTGCTACTAATTCTTCAAAATTCATAGTATGTGCATGACTGTAGAAAAAAAAAACGTGATGCCCATATTTGAGATAAACCTTGTAGATTTTGTTTTTTTCTCTCACAGACCACCTCTATGCTCTAGCACAGTAGTGCTCAACCTTCCTAATGCCGCAATTCTGTAATACAGTTCCTCATGTTGTGACGACCCCTTACCATACAACTATTTTCGTCGCTTCTTTAAAACTTGAATACATATTTGTTTTGCGATGGTCTTTGGCGACCCATCTGAAAGGGTCGTTTGTCCCACACAAAAAAAGGTCGTGACCCAAAGGTTGAGAATCGCTACACTCTGACATATAGACATATTTATTTGCTGGCTGATATAATGCTTAGTTAATACTAGAAACATAAACTGGTGTATTTGAGGATTATAACTATATATAATAGTTACTAGGTTTAATTAACTTCATGTGATTCTAACTTGACAAATCGCTGTCTCATATATATATATATATATATATATATATATATATATATATATATATATATATATATATATATATATGTGTGTGTGTGTGTGTGTGTGTATGTGTGTGTGTGTGTGTGTGTGTGTGAAACAATAGGGAATCAAACCATGAATCCTCTCCTTTACCCAGCTCGTCTGGGAGAAAGATCTTTTAGGATGTTTAACTTTTTGAGATTACCTCTGGATCCTGGCTACTTGTGATGTCTTTCTTCATATTTGAAATGTAACACGTCTCTTGGGCATTGGTTGTCATTACAACCTTAGAACAACAGTATTCTCTATATCTGGCATTAGCTGTTTTGTACAGATAAGAGGGAGAATGATATCCTGTTATCTTCTATAGACAGCATATAGAGTATTCGATGAAACAGAAAGCGAATTCAACGCCACAGAATCGAAATCACGGAACTCTCAACATTTTGATAAGCGCTATGACCATTATTCAGCAGAAAGCGTAGATGTTGAACAATTAAAACATATATTCAAAGTTCAATAGTTCTTCTTCTTAAATAGATATTGCACTGTAATAGAAACCATACTTTTAAACACGTTACACGTCACTGGATGATAAAAAGAAGATGACAAATGCAGACTGACAGATTATACTTCCAAGTCAAGACACCCCCCCCCCCCCCCCCCCCCCCCACAAAAAAGTGTCATCGATGAACACTGTGCATGCAATCCTCAATGTTGCGACGACATCTGACTGAGCCATTTAATGTTCATTCTTTCTTTTTTTCTCTCTCTCTTTGTGAATTTATGGCATAGCAGGTGTCTAAATGACCAGACTTCTCTGGCACCTTCCATTTGTTTCGCTGTTGTGACAGGTATCATTTTTATGGAAGTCTGCTCTGGCTGCTGAAGATCAGGACGGAGCAGGGAGGACTAAACTAAACTTAACTTATGTCGCTATTCTGTATCTACATGTTTTAATTGCTCTATCCTTTTTGCTCCACCTAAAAAACCATTTTGCTTGGACAACTTACAATTTTGTAATAATTATTTCGTAGATTTGTTTGTTTGTTTGTTTGTTTGCCTGTCAGGAAATATGTTGGCATTTACAAGTATCCAGTAGGTGTTTCTTTTACTTTTTTAATCTTTAAAACTGCCTGGGTCAAAACTGATTCTTTCCAGTCTTCTTGTTAATCTCCTTTTTCTTCCTCCTCTTCTTCATGTTCTTGTTCTTTTTCTTCTTTTTCTTCTTCTTCTTCTTCTTCTTCTTCTTCTTCTTCTTCTTCTTCTTCTTCTTCTTCTTCTTCTTCTTCTTCTTCTTCTTTTTCTTCTTCTTCTTCTTCTTCTTCTTCTTCTTCTTCTTCTTCTTCTTCTTCTTCTTCTTCTTCTTCTTCTTCTTCTTCTTCTTCTTCTTCTTCTTCTTCTTCTTCTTCTTCTTCTTCTTCTTCTTCTTCTTCTTCTTCTTCTTCTTCTTCTTCTTCTTCTTCTTTTTCTTCTTCTTTTTCTTCGTCATCTTCTTCTTCTTCTTCTTCTTCTTCTTCTTCTTCTTCTTCTTCTTCTTCTTCTTCTTCTTCTTCTTCTTCTTCTTCTTCTTCTTCTTCTTCTTCTTCTTCTTCTTCTTCTTCTTCTTCTTCTTCTTCTTCTTCTTCTTCTTCTTCTTCTTCTTCTTCTTCTTCTTCTTTTTCTTCTTCTTATTTTTCCTCCTCTTCTTCTTTTTCTTCGTCATCTTCTTCTTCTTCTTCTTCTTCTTCTTCTTCTTCTTCTTCTTCTTCTTCTTCTTCTTCTTTTTCTTCTTCTTCTTCTTTTTCTTCTTCTTCTTCTTCTTCTTCTTCTTCTTCTTCTTCTTCTTCTTCTTCTTCTTCTTCTTCTTCTTCTTCTTCTTCTTCTTCTTCTTCTTCTTCTTCTTCTTCTTCTTCTTCTTCTTCTTCTTCTTCTTCTTCTTCTTCTTCTTCTTCTTCTTCTTCTTATTCTTCTTTTTCTCCTCCTTCTTCTTCTTCTTCTTCTTCTTCTTCTTCTTCTTCTTCTTCTTCTTCTTCTTCTTCTTCTTCTTCTTCTTCTTCTTCTTCTTCTTCTTTTTTTTTCTTCTTTTTCTGCTGCCTGATGTGCCCAGTCAGTTCTCTTCGTGAAACAGTTTCTTTCAAGTCATCTTCATTACTCATTTTATCTGTCCAGGGTATTCTCATTATTTGTCTATAAAATTCACACCTTTACAGCTTCCAAACAATTTTTCAGTAATCTACTAACTGTCCATGATTCACTTCAAGGTAGGATTTATATAGCTAGATAGATTGCATAAACTATTCTTCATTTTGTAAAATGCTGCCTTTGCTTGAGATATTCTAAATGAAATTTATATAATACATCTTCCATCTGAAGTTCTTGAACATATCAACTTGCTTGGGGTTTTTCCCATTTACTTTGATGTTGCATTTTGGTTTTTAATAGTCTACTTACCATTACGTCTGTTTTTCTGCTTTTCAAACTAAAACCCTTGTTTTCACGTTTTCTTACAACAATATACATAATTCCTGCAGTTGTTCCATTTTCAGCGATGATAACTAAATAGCCTGCGTATTGCAGGTTGTTAACAATGTACCCACCAATTGATATTCCTTTGAGATTGTTCGATGTTATCAACATTCCACTGCACCAGGTATTTTTGATAATGGTATGAACAAGAGATTTCAGTAGTTAATCGGGTATGTGTCTAAAGTTATAAATATCATTGAACAATTTTGTCAAAGTTATAAACCCGTTCACAAGCAGCTTTGAATACTTTAATGGAGATTTTATCTGGCCCTGTAGGTTTACATTTCGTCATGTGGTTTATGGCATTTTCTTCTTTTCCTATTGGCGGTAACTCTTTAAATAATCAACTAAAATGTGCATGCTTTTAAACCGAAAATGTGTCTTTTCTCCACCGTCCAGCCCGACCTCTAAATAGGGCTCAGGAACCCACACAGGGGAAAAGTTTCTCAAGTAACATCATTATAGCACCAAACAGTGGAAGTAACAGCTAGAACAAAAAATTACATTGCAACTACAAATGCCATGTGACGTTACTTGACAATTTAAGTATGTCATGAAACCCGTATAATGAGTTACTCAGTACTGAATCAGTTAGGCCATACTAATAAGTGACATAACAAAGTATCGCTTGCTGAAACGTAGACGATAATATAGATTTAGGAATTAACTGATTTAAACCTTTATCTGTCCGGTTATGCCTCATATTGCAGACGCCCATTCTGTGGATCACGCAAACATTTTTTTTATTTCCTTAAAGCAGTGGTCTCCAACACTTGTCAGTCGCCCCCCCCCCTCCCCCCAACCTCTTCCTTTTTTTTAATCCCCATTTTAGCCCATGGCAAGAGCCTGGTTAAGACGTATGATCCATTGGGAGATACAAGGCAGAAGAATATGACTAAATACAGTTACTGGTTGTCAGTCACACAATTGTTTTCTTAGAGAAGATAGAGATGACTCACTCTGGCATATCCAAGGTGATGTTTCTTCGCACAGGGATCCTCTCATTGGCCAACATATTGACGCCGAAATTTTCCAAACCCTTGTCATAGATTACTTTTTCTCTTTCCTTGAGCAGACTTCTGTTGATAAAAACACCAGCCCCGCCGAATCCTGAAAGATAGCATGCAGACAGACAATATACTTTTGCAGTAATAAAAATAAATATTTATAGTGCAGACATAAAAAGCAAATTCAACAATAAATTACATTACATCTTTTGCTCTGTGCATTGATAGTTCTCTGACCTGTATGTTAGTTAAACGTTCTATTTGATGCGACAGGTATATAGTTGATATTGGTCTAGAGATACGCTTGTCTCATAGGTGCATGTCTAAGTTCACAAAACCCATGTTGAAACTGCCAATAGCTCAATCAATCAGTCGAGGTTCCTTGAAGGACACTTTCATTTTTAGAAAACTGTGGCAATTCTGCAGTTAATGCATGCTTATACAGCTCTGAACCTGGCAGAGAGAATTCGTTTGCAGCCTTCTTCGTCCAGAAGTATAGGTGTAACCTTTCCGTTGGAGTGAACAATGCAGGTCAAGATAGCGATCCTTGTGCATGGGCAACTTATAGTCTCTATAAAAAAGCTAATGCTTTGCGCTAGGTAAAATGCAGGCGTGTCAGGCTAGACACACTCATTATCCATGGTGCTTCCCCCAGCACAATAAAACGCTACCGTCTGAAAAGACAGAAAGGTACTAATCCATCCATAGTCAGGGACAAAATTACAGTGTTTCATCAACATGCAATAAAGCACAGAAATGTGTCTCTCAAACTGTAATTGTTACACGTTACATCTCATCAACGGGTGTTCAAGATATCCACGTAAGGACTCGTGGTCTTCTTTTGTTTTGAAACATTATCAATGACATTTTCGGAGTCAAGTAATCGACATCCTATCAAAGAAAACATTTCGAGATGCAGCGAAATAGTGTATGACAGACAATACAGTGTCGGCCTTTGTGGCTTAGGCGTTGCGAACACGCTTCATAATGCTGGTATGCTGATTTCGATCCCAACTGCAGGCGATTTGACCGCAGAACGTCTAGTGTTTTCTTGGACGGTGATGTCTTGAGCCGACTGTGCTGAGGGCGAAGACAAACTAAGATAATCACCAGGATCAGAGAACTTTGGAACGCTGCTGTGGACACAAACTAGTGACCCCAAACCCTGTACGAGTGGGAATGACTACAGTGTGAAACACCAGAAAGGATTCCTGATGTTGTCGTGGATGGTGACTGCTCTTTCAAACACTTCTTCTTCTTCTTCACTTCCTCTTTTACCGCTGTGGGTGTCGAGGGAGATATAAGGTTCTGTTTCTAGCTCTTCTGGCTGCTTCGACCATAGGCACATCGTGCTGTTGTAGAGTTTCTCTGATGTTAAGCTCCCTAAATCCTTATTCTTCCTCCAACATCTATCTGCTGCGCCACCATTTTCTCCATGGTTTAGTAAATCCAATGTTTTAAATATCTGGGTACAAATTTTAAAATTATACAGCACATCGGCAACTATGAACCTATTTTAACTATAGTAAAAAGGCGATAAATGTAATGGCATGGGCATGTAATAAGATCTAACAGCCTCTCAAAAACAATACTGCAGGGCCCAGTAGAGGGAAAGAGGAGAAGAGGCAGCCAAAGAAAGACTTGGTTACAGAACCTGACTGGACAGGCCTCAGGCATGCAACCATGAAGTCCATTTCAATTGACCTCCAAAGGTGGAGAGAGCTGATCAGACAGTCAACAGAAACTGGTGCGCCCAACGACACAGAGTGTTAGGTGATGATGATTAGAAAGCAAATGATGCATTCTGTCTGAGAGTAGTCGACAGATAGCTGTTCGTCATCGTCTCAAGTTGTTTGATGGTGTGGAGGAGATCACAAAAATATCGACATCAGAACAGATACGGGTTTTGCATCAAACGAAAGCAATGATAATCACATTTCTTCAGAAAATGTATGTATCGACACGTGACACATTAACCATGAATATGTGTACAGAGTGACAGAATTAAAAGATGTACAGAGTACTTGGGGATCTGTATAATGGTAATTGACCAGAAGTGTATTTGCTGGACAACAATGAAGGTCCATCAATACTGGCTTCAGAAGCTGAGGATGCATTGCATCACATGAAGAAAGGAAACGCACCTTGGCCAGAAAACATCAGATTGGAAGAAATTGGAGCTTCGGGATATTTTTTAAATGCAATCATGACAACATATAAAGAAATGTGAAAGACTGGAACCATAAGTCATATGCGTCATCTGAAAAACAAGTTTATGGACAATAATTTATATTATCAGATGGAGAATGTGTGACAGAGATTAAAACCAGAATATGTCCAGCGACAGCTGCATTTCAGAAAATGAAAAAAATATCGTATGCAATAAATCGCTCTCATTTAATGTCAGAAAGAGGGTGCTAAAATGTTATATAGAACCTGTTATGCTGTATGGCAGCGAATTCTGGAATGTTTGTAAACAAATTAGGAAGAGTCTGGAAGCAACAGAGATGTGGTTTATGAGACGAATGTTACGAATGCCTTGGACGGGCAGAGTAACTTACAACGATTGCTTGAAAGTATATCTCTATATAAAACAAAAAAGAAAGAGACAACTTGTTCTTTGGACACACAATGAGAAGAGAGACATTGGAGAAATTCGTGACAACCGGAAAGCAGTGAAAAATGGGGTAGAGGCTGATCAAGAGAGATGATGCTGGATGGGCTGAAACGATGGCATGGAGGGATATCATCAAGAGAGCATTCCAGTCAACCAGGGATCATGATCTGTGGAGACACATGAGCGCCTACGCAAGTTGGCAGGGTACATGATGATGAGGAGGAGGAGGAGAATATTTAAAAAAAAAAATTAAACCAGAAATTTGTAAATAACAGTGTAGATTTGTAGAAGGAAAAGGTACAAACAATGCCACATACATCTTCAAGACTCTTTCGGAAAGAGTGTAGAAATTAAAATTTAAAAAAAAAAAATCTTTACTTATGCATTACTGACTATTCAAAAACATTTGATTGTGTGAAACAGGGACAAAAATAATCAAACTATAGGAAAAGTTAAACATTGGCGAAAAATAATTATGAATTATACAGAATATGTTTTTGCAGCAAACAAGAATAATGGAAATAATAACCATTGAGGGACATTTCAAGCTTAAAGTCAATGATGCATACTATCAGTTGATTTGTTTTCATTATACATGATATATAATGAGAGCTATCATGAATATGCTAAGAATTTGCTTTGTGGTCATAACATAAACAACCTGCGTTAACCTAATTTCCAAGTCTTGATAGCGACAAGTCAGAAAATACTTAAGGAATTGATAGATACTTAGCGGTAGAAAGTGATAAAATGGGCCTCAGTTTGAATAATAGAAGGATAGAGGTAACTGTGATTTCCAAGAAAAGAATAGTGCCTAAATGTATAAGAAACGTCAAAGGCTTTATTTCAGAACAAATAGACAGCATGAGAAGATCTTGACAGTCTTTTGCCACGGCATGGAGGGGTGTCTACATACGAACTGATTCACTGCATGGAGGGGTGTCTACATACGAACTGATTCACGGCATGGAGGGGTGTCCACATACGAACTGATTCACGGCATGGAGGGGTGTCCACATACGAACTGATTCACGGCATGGAGGGGTGTCCACATACGAACTGATTCACGGCATGGAGGGGTGTCCACATACGAACTGATTCACGGCATGGAGGGGTGTCCACATACGAACTGATTCACGCATTTGCGAATCGCAGATTTTCGAGAGGCATGATTGTCCAGGCCAGTCGGCCAAATATTTGATGATAATGATGATGATGATGATAATGATGATGATAAGTGGAAATTAGAAAAAAAAAGTTTCAAAAAAGCAAAAATAATAAACAAGAAGACAAAAATACACATTGAACAGATTTGGCACATACGACATTGGCGATGCCTGTCAAAGGGTGAATTGAACTTACTTTCATTCATCTTGTGTGTTAAAAAAATATCCTACATCTCGCGATCTCTAAAAGGTAAAAATGTTATTAAATCTGCCCTCCAATGACAGTGTAATAAGTTGCTTTTATCATTACCTTGACTTTCCATGCTATTTTCTAGTACCCATTTCAGGAGAGAAGGTCACTGACTAAACAAATTAATACGCTTTCTTGTGTGTTCGAACTTAAGACTTCGAGGTGGTGTTCTATATGTTTATGTAGTTTTACCATGAAGAGTTTACTATCTATAATGTCATAAATAGTTGAACTGGAAATCAGAAGCAGTTACAGCAAAATGGCCACTATGAGAAACACCACCTGAAAGTTTTAAAATTACCTTCGTCTCCTGGTAAAGCTTTCAGAGGCCAAGCTGCTTTCATCAACTGATACAAATATTGACCTTTCTCAGAAATGTTTGCTGTGAACCCGTTCATTGCTCCAGGCCTCAGTTCCTTGGTTAACAACTGATGTTTGCCCTATACGTTGGAAAATGTCATTGATATACTGATTAATATATGGCGTAGGTGCTAATAGTTCAGAGTAACATTGGAAAGCTAGAATAAAACAATACCGGTTCTTATGGTTCAACAGGACATGAATGCATTACAAAAATGTACCTTAAGATTTTTAATAAAACATGTATATAAATGCCCAACTTTGCATTCGTCTCCCCCGACTGTTGTCTTACTTTAAAAATTACACCATAGTAAGGATTTGTGTTTTTCACTGGCATGAGTTAGACGAGCAGCCTTGCCTAAACAGGAACCAACCAATAATTTTAAATATGATATTAAACACACCAAAACTATTAGTTGCTGACGGGTTTATACACTCAAGCTAGCAACATATAATCACAATACACCATATTTTCCTAGGGAAAGGTATTTAACATTTTCTATACATCATTCTGTGGTGAGTGGCAGCCATATCCGTATGGATAGTCCAGGATCCTATTTGGTTCTCATTTCTTTACCTAGCTCAAAACATGGCTGCACGAATACCGCTTGTGTACGGCAGTGGCCACACCACGGGCAACAGTCTTGGCTGACTGGCTAAACTACATGAGTGAAGTGGGAGTAATATCCTACTAAGGGAGATATTGTGACAAAACAACGGAATATTTCAGTCCGGCAAGAGTTAATTGCATTTTTTGAGTTAAAATAATTGCGCACGTAAAATAAACATAGTTGAACATAGACGCGATAAGAATAAAAATTGTACGAAGGCGCACATAAATTATGACGTTAGTAGTGTTACTAGGAGAAACCCTTAGAGCTAGATTCGTCACAACAACACACAACGAATGCCCAGCCACACCATCGGCCTAACCCCAAGAAAACAAATATAATATACGAGCTCAGGTGAGATTTATAATTGTAGGGAGTAGCTGAGATCCCCTATAAGCCTTAGCTGTATCCTAAAATATGTTATCGAGATCCTACTATTCTATATTCTACAAATGTATAAATAGTCAGTGACTTCATCAACCTTGATACTTGTCCGTTGGACAATTCACTAGTCCTTACCTATTATGACGTTCTTAAAGTTACTATTCACCGTTAGGACTATGCAATAGCGAACCCTCCTTCCCTCTGTCATCTTTCCAGAAAATATTCATTGGGTTTCTTTGCGTAAAGATTTTTCAGTATAAACCATCATCCGGTGCCATGTGGTATCATCAGTTGGGTATACCTCACATTGCTTATGTTTATTATATTATGCAACATATAATTTGAGTAAAAGTCGTCAGCTTTGTGGGCATATAGGGTTGGCCTATGTTTTATAGACCAAGTGGTACCTAGGTGGTGATGTGGTCAACATCACACCTGCTGCCTTTACTCCCCATGACTATAGCTGGTGTCCATTCAAGGCAAAGTCGACCTGGGTCTGTTGGGACTTGAACTAACGACTGTCCAATCTGCATGCGAATGTGTGTCCGCTTAATTATGTCAAGTTTTATATGAACGTGCAATAATTTGGATATGTATAAAACAACATATTATAACAGGGTGGAGAGATCTAATTTTGATTAGCTTGGGGAGAAAGACAACACATGAACCTTGCTCTTTCCTTTATTACTCTGAAAAAACACCACATACACCGCAACACCTCCACCTGCCCAGATGTGTCGACTTAATGCTCAACACAGGGCTGAATGATGTATTCCTCAGGTTCCCGTATTCCCGTTTTCCTGTTTGCCTATTTACTCGAGGATCGTGAACCACCATTCCTGTTTGCCTATTCACTCCAGGATCGTGAACCACCATTCCCGTTTGCCTGTTTACCAGTGAATTGTGAACCAGACTGTAACGAATAAAAACCCGAGGGTCCCGGATTCATTGTCGCAGTTAGGCGAGGATTGTAACTGTTGCAGGCGGAACCTGGTACATACCTCCCAAGGAAGCCGCATGTCAACACATTCCTACTACTGGAAAGCTGAGTGACATTTGTTGTTTGTTCAAAGTTATGTGGTGTGATGATGAACTCTGAATTAATTTCTCTGTGTTAATTTAAAGATTATTGAAGTAGTTAAACAGTATTTATCAATACAGTTGTTGTTTAGAAACGCATTTATTGAATTCATCGTATCAAATTTAACTTCTTAGGTAAACTAAAGATTGTTCATTGCAGTTTATTTGAGTTAAATTTATAAAATATTGACCTTTGGTTGTTTCTGAATTTCTTTAAGAAATTTCCGGGGATTCACCCTATTCGTTTAACTTTCTGTATTTCCCTTCCTTTATTTTCCAGAACTCAGGGACCGTTAGTACACAAAGACTGGGACGGTAAGCAAGGCGGAAGAATCTAATTATATAGATCAACGGCTTGCAAAGCGAAACAGCAAAGTGTGTGGCACACATGAGGCGTGTTGGGACACGAAGGAAAACATGGCTGGCCATCGTGGAAAAGATTGGGACCTTACCACGTAGCACCCAAAGACAGTATTGGAAGCACAACAAGTTAGAAAAAGCGATGCAGGCACATCTTGGCCCCCTGGAGTAATGCCTGTTGTAAATACAAACAAGGAAGAGACAAATCCTCTGTTGACTAGGGTAGAGAATAATGACGAGTGCGCCTTAAATTCTCCTGAAAGGGCACATTCTGACAACGCATATCTGAAAAGTAGAAAGAGATGTCTTCGCATTGGCACATGGAATGTTAGAACGTTATATCAAGTTGGAAAATTTGTTTAATTTCTGAGGCAAAGAATATGCATTTAGATATTTTGGGAGTATCAGAAAAAATATGGACAGAAGCTAGCTGCCTAAAGAGAGATGATTACTTATTTGTTAATTCTGGAGAAGAACATCATGAACGTGGAGTAGGATTCTTGATAAAAAGAAATTTAGAGAAGTTTATTAGCGGGTTCTGGGCTCACAATGACAGAATTATATTGATCAAGATCAAGGCAAGACCTTTTGATACTGCAATAATACAGACATATGCACCAACAACTGACTACAGTGATGAACAGCTTGAAGAATATTATGAAGAACTACAACAAACTCCTACAGTTGTAAAATCATCAGTGGTCTTAATAGTTATGGGAGACCTGAATGCAAAAGTGGGGAAAAAGAAGCACAAACATATTGTAGGGCAATTTGGCATGGGATCAAGGAATGACAGAGGAGAGAGATTAATACAGTTTTGCGAAAAGAACCAACTCATTATCTGTAATACATTTTGTCAACATCCATCTAGAAAACTGTTTACGTGGAAGAGTCCAGGAGATATAAATAGAAACCAAATTGACTATGTAATGATTAAAGACAGATTCAAAAACAACATAAAGAACGCCAAAACGTACCCAGGTGCGGATATAAATTCAGATCACAACCCTGTGGTAATAGTAATACAAATTAAACTTAAAAACACAGGAATAAAAACGCAAAGGTCACCCCACATAGACATATCAGCTTTGAAACAGCCAGAAGTAAGCCAGCAGTACCTAGTGGAGGTTAAAAATAAATATAACAGATTAATAGTTGAAAGCATGGAACATTATCGACGGGAGATTCCAGAGGACAAAATTTATACAAAATGGAAATATTTCAAAACAAGTATAGAAACAGCTAATGCCATCTTACCAGTGAAAGAAAACAAGAAAAAATCAAGTATGGATGACTGAGGAAATTATTAACAAAATGACACAAAGGAAGAAAGCAAAAAACACTCCAGTATATTCATTATTAGACAAAGAAATACGAAATATGTGTAGAACTGCTAAGGAAACTTGGATTCAGTTAAAATGCAAAGAAATAGAGGATTTTGAAATAAAACACAGAACCAAGGAAATACTTGCAAATATAAGAAAACTTACAAACAAGGAAACACATTTAACAGGAAATGGTTGTATTAGGGGGAAGGATGGCAAAATTATTGTTGATAAGAAAGATATATAAAAGGATGGACTGAATACACAGAAGACCTGTTTTGGGGCAAAAGAGGTGACAAACCGCCAATCAATAATAGTCAAGAGTGACCAAACATTTTAAAGTCTGAAGTAGAGAAAGCCATTAAACAGATGAAGCAAGAAAAAGCTGCAGGTCCAGACAACATAACTGCAGAAATGTTAAAATCATTATCTACTTTTTTTGGAATTGATACTATCACAGAAATATGCAATGACATTTATAACTATGGGTACATTCCCAGGGACATGAAAACATCTGTTTTTATCACACTACCCCCAAGAAATCAAAAGCTGTTGATTGTGAAGATTACAGAACTATTAGCCTAATGAGTCACGTAACTAAGTTACTCTTGAAGATAATACAAGCAAGAATTCAAGATAAAATAGAGAAAGAAGTTTCTCAAGAGCAATTTGGATTCCGTAAAAACAGTGGTACACGAGAGGCCATAATTTGTCTAAAGATGCTGACTGAAAAATATAAAGAAGTTCAGAAAAATATTTATGCATATTTTATATATTACAAAAAAAAGCTTTCGACAGAGTGCAACATGAACAACTAATTGCAGCTCTTCAAAACATAGGACTAGATGAAAAGGATATCAGACTTATTAGAAACTTATACTGGGAACAAGAAGCAACAGTAAGATTTGACAACATCTGCTCACCAAAGATAGAGATCAAGAGAGGAGTTAGACAAGAATGTGTGCTGTCGCCTAGCCTTTTCAACTTATGTACAGAAACTATTTTTAAAGAAATTGTAGAATTACCAGGACTGCACATCAATGGTGGAATAATAAACAATCTGAGATATGCTGACGACACAGTGTTGCTAGCAGAGAGTGAACAGGAGTTGCAAGACCTAGTGGAGCAAGTAAACAGAAGGAGTGCAGAATTTGGATTAGATATAAATTTGAAAATTACAAAAACCATGATATTTAGCAAAGAAAATAATCAGCTAACAATGAATATCACAGTGAACGGGGTGAAATTGGAGCAAGTTAAAAATGTCTTATATCTTGGACAAGTAATAACATGTGACGGCAGAAGTGAAACAGATGTCAAGAAAAAAAAATAGGGATGGCCAAAAACATTTTAAACAACATGCAAAAGTAACTGACATCAAGAGAAATAAGCAATACATTAAAAATGAGAATCGTCAAATGTTATGTATTCTCAACCCTACTGTATGGCACAGAGACATGGACAATGAACAAACAACTGGAAAATCGTATCAATTCTTTGGAGATGTGGATATACAGAAGATTAGGTCGTATTTCATGGAAACAAAAGCTATCAAATACAGAGGTACTGAGGAAATTGGGAATGAAAAGAGAGTTGCTAGGTGAAATATAAAAGAGACAAGTGAAATATTTTGGCCACATTAAAAGACATAACAGTATTGTAAAGATCATCCTAGAGGGAAAGGTTCAAGGTAGGCGTGCAAAAGGCAGACAGCGTTGCAAGTGGGAGGATAACATCAAGAGATGGACGAACAGCAGTATGTGTGAGTGTGCATCAAGGGCAAGAGACAGGGCTTGTTGGAGATCCATTGCAGCCAACCTTCATTGTGGAGACGGCACCTGATTGATTGATTGATACATCATTCTGCATTTTTGAGATGGCTGACCCAGACAATCATGAATGTTATTTTTAATCTGTCTTGTCACTCACAGCCATGATCACCAAAATCAGACTACATGTTGTTACAGCAAAAACTCGAGAATTGTTCTTCACAACTCTCCCTTCAACCTGAGCCTTGAAAGCCCACGAGCTTCTAACATGGTGGGTTACAGAACAATATGTGTAAATGACAGCATCATCTTTGAGAGCATTCTTGAAAATCGAGGCTTTAACTTCTGCTTCCACAGCTGCCGGACTCTGTTGTCTGCATTTTCTGTCTAGTTAGCACTCTAAAGGCACTTGCAGGCACTTCCCGCAGGGTTATATGTCCTTAATTGAGCATACCTGTAACACAATGTCATTAGCTTGATCCATCCACTATTACCCTCTTTTTGACCTGTTGCCTTTTAAACTTCCTAATTTCAGTATGCAATGGATGTTGTGTGTCCGCATTGACTAGGAGGTATTTACGTGCTGCGGAAATTTGTATTCCGTCTTCCATGGTTGGAAAATAAAGAAGGTAGCGCATCGTCATGCATACTGTATATCTTGTCCATCCAACTATTTTGCGCATAGCCTGGTTCAGTATCATTTCCATCCTTTCCATTTGCTTATGGCTAAGATTTAAAATCGCCATCGCGTATTGAAAAACAGAAAGTACTAGACCCTGAAGACACAGACAAAGCTGTTCACAATTTGCCAGCCTATCACTCTCATCGCAGCCAAACCCCGCTTGGCTTTTATTATAATCTGATATATGTGCTCAGTATAAGCAAGGCTTCAATCAAACTGTCATCATCATCATCATCAGGTGCCTTGCCGACTGGCGTGGGCGATCATGCCTCTCCATAATCCGCGATCTCCTGCAGCATGTATCAGTTCGTGTGCCGACACACCTCCATGCCATGCAACAAGACTGTCAAGCATCTTCTCTCGTTGTCTTCCTCTATCCCTCCTTCCACAGATCTTTCCAGGATCAATCAAACTGTATCCTCTGGTATTTTATTTCATGCGTTCTTTTTAAAATATCAGAACATAGACTAACAACTGGTGTCGGAGTTTTCCCAATATGGTTATTCAAAGAGAACCATGTCACTGCCGCCTTCGTTGGGTCGACCAGTGCACCAGCTTCACCACACCAAGTGCTTTATGCGGTTGAGCTCTTTTTGTAGTTCTTCAGCGACATTCTCTCTACCCTTCCTATGATGATACACTAACTCATCGTTAGCTTATGACAGTGTTCTTCCGGGTCCTGTATTTTGCTCGCCTGTGATGTTCACTGTGTAAACCTTGAACAGCACAGGAGATAATGACGATAATTATGACAGGCCGGGATCTATTGTTGTTGGTTCAGAAGACCAACTGCCACATCTAAACACTACTTTTTCCTGGAAGAGGGTGGAAGAGATCCAATGAAGCAGGAATTGACTTATTTGGATTTCAAGAAGCTGAAACATGCAGAAATCCAAAGAAAATCTGTTGTTACGCATATTCGGGATCCATTGCCACAGCACACATTTCAATACCTGAGTGGAAGCCTTCCTACACATCCTGACCAAAGACAGCAGCATTGGTGCATTTTTCTTTCTTTGGAAGAAGACCTCGCCTCTCAAGCTGGTGTGAAATTTTCCTGGCGATTATCTTTTCCAACAGCTTGCCCACAGTATTTTGCATAGTGATTATCCAATATCCCTGAATTGTTGTGTTCTTTGCCAGGTTTCGACAGGGGTATCAGATAGATGTATAACTCATTGATAGCATTGACACTTCTTCCTCTTCAGGATTCCGAGCCCTAGAGGTTGATTGCTACAGATATCACCTGCCTCTACTCATCTCTCTGGTTAGCCTTCTCTCTCCAATTGGTGACACCAAGTGTTTGCATGTCTCTCTGGAAATCATCTATTCACATCTTATTATGTTTCGTGGTCTGCAAGCATTCACCTCACTTCTGAATACAGCCTTTACCTCTCTGCCATTTGACATTCTCTCTATATGCCCCAGCATAGAAAGTGTTTTAACAGCAAATTACCCGTATTTTCCGCGAACCTCCGCCAGGTGAGGTCGGCGCACTGGAAGTCAGGAATACTCTTATTTGTGTGGGCTCCTTTCATACTTTTATGTAGTCGCAGAACAGTTTAAATGATTTATCTCTGCCTATTATGTGACACAACTCTGCCAACTTCTCACGTTTAACCTCAGTAACCAGTTTCGCGAAGGATCCAACTTTTATGTCCATGTTTCTTTGCAGGCGCAAGGTATGACTAGACTGGGCGCCTCTGTTGCGTTTTGCATTTTACAATTTTCTCACAGCACCACGCATATCTACCCAGGCTTTTTCCACCCTACAATTCCATCAAGGGAGTTTTTCTCAGCAATTCTTTTTTTTTTTTTTTTTTGGTATGTTGATTTTTTGTATTTGTAACGACTAATTTTACCCACCACATCCTATCCTGTACTGTCATGCATACATGTCTTGACCTTTGACTTGTATTTCTTGAATCTGCCTTTCTCCAATACTATGCTGCAGGGGTGGTGATTGCTGCCATTGTACCATAGTACACCCTATTTACACACTTCAGTGAGTGAACGAGAAACCAGGGCCAGATCAATAACGCTGTCTTTATCATCTGGACTTTTTGCTACTCTCGAGACACTGCCATTGTTAATACAAACTTGGTCAACAGTTTTAAACGCGGCCTCGAGCTCTTCCCCTGTGCTTTGGACGAAATGTTCCCCCATGATCTGACTTTAGCAGTGAACTTACCACAGAAAATAACATTCATCTCGCGAGATATTATTTTACTTCAGCACTGCCACCTCTGGAAATCCACGCACGCGTTGCAGGCAAAACATTCACCAACACAAAATAATGACCTTTAACCAGAAAGTTGGAATATGGATTGATAGCCTCGTAGATTAACTAGGAAGGTTATAAGAAGTACAATGTGACCAGAAATGCGAGAAGAAGAATGATGATTTACAGCATACAAACATACGAAAACGGGGATTTATATAAATAGACGACGATACAATTAGACATATATTTATGCTTGATAAACGTAGGCGAGGAGAGGAATGTATCCCTCCACACTGAACACAGAAATAAGTACTGATAGAGTTCTGAAGTTACACATTTATGTTATAAGGTGGAAAAAATACCAGCACGTATGAAGCAAAGTAACAGGTGATGAAGTCCTGGAGTTACATAGGCAGGTTACATACACATCAGCACCACACAATAGACACTTACATATCCGCTGGCGTTAATCCGCTGCATAACAGATTGACTGGAAACATTACCAAGAAATATTGTTAACAGCACAATCCAGAATACAGTCATCATTGTAAACAATAGCCAGACATATATTCGTACTCCCATTGTTAACTGGGGGGTTTCTGCGTGTAGGACACCTGAAAATATAACATCGGCAAAGGCAATTTCAGTTTATGTTTTTTATTGTCCTATTTTGTTATTAAATTTTACATAGGGCATACAGTTAATTTCTCCATTCCGTTCTATTATGCAAAGGGTACGGTAGATAAATTAGATTCTCAAAGTACCTGTTGCATAGTCACAATTTCGCCTTGTCCCTGTCCGAGAGTCCAGATGAGTGCAGCAGGAGAAGATCGAGGCCTGGCGTCATGACCCAGGTCGGCCCACTTTCCGATATTGTATAGTAAGTAACATGCCGAAACAATCGTCGACGAGGGATCTTTCTCCTGATATTCGGTTGACCCCTGCTGTACATGTTCCCCTGTGGAGTTTTTATTATCGTGCTTTGATATTGATATCATAGATGCAAACCAGTCCAGCACCTGGAGCTTCTCTCGTCGAGCTTGGAAATGAGGTTTTTTTTTGACGTCTTGGCTTTCTCAGTCCCGCTGTTTTTCATGTTAATACCTGTTTAATGATTTTCTCTTCGTGTTTTCTCAGAATGTATCCAGCGACATCTTCTCCGTCTTTAACAGTTGATTATAGTGGTCCCAGATGTTTCGGGCATTTAGAAACCTTGAACTATTGTCAAATGACTCGAAGAGCTCCTTTTCAGAAAGAAAAAAAATTCCACATTCAGCCTTATAAGACAGAGATATTTTGGCACCCTAATATACCACACTGGCAGTGGTATCACAGTGTTAGTATAAATATGCTGTTAATATTTTGTTTCTTGGCGTTCATACTTATGCTAGGCTGTCTTAGTTAAAAAAAAAAACCTGCTGCCCTGTGTTGGTGCGAGGTTATCCGTTGCAAGGGCGTTGGCTCCCTGCGGTACTTTTCTAACGAGGTTCAGCAGCCTACTTTAGCCATGCATAGACATTATAGATGCGCGGCAACCGGGTGACACACTCCTTATGGTCCGAGTTCACGCTCGGGGGTAGGCAGAAAAGTCACATATTTCCCAGATTTACAGTATCTATCATACAATCGAGCTGAACACTTTGATCTTCTTCTTGAAGAAAACGAATCATACAACGTATTTCACAGCTGGCGGAACAGGCAATGGTATTGTCCATATTTATTGGTGATCCATTGAATAAATGCGCCTGCAGGCTAGTGTGTATTGAGCTGAAAGGCTACTACTGCATGATGTAAGCGATAAAAGGTGTCGCTATGGCAAACCCCTATTTTTTTAACAGGCAGTGGGGTGTTGATTTTGGTATAATCCTCTTATTTTCAGGTAGATTTTGGGAACAACACCTTGTACAAGATTTATCAAGAAAAAGGCAGATCATGTGCTTTCGCTATTGGGTATAATGCAGCAACATCGCAGGGAGTATAGTGAGAAGATCAGCCACAAGAACAAGAGGACGGTCACGAACGAGATGGATCGACAACTCTCAAGATAGAATATGCCTTTATTACATGACACTAACCAGTGCCAGTCAGCGTACACTAGATCACAAATACCCCCCCCCCCCCACCAGCCATTTTACGGCAGAGGTGGTTTACGAAGATGGTGGTGACCATTGAGCATAATATTAATATAAATTCAAACTAGGATTAGGCCCCATGAGAACACCCTCCTTCGTCCCCTTTCCCACCTCCACTCACCGTTTTATGCCTAGAACATGTGTATGACGGTGGTGAAAAGGGGGGGGGGGGAGAGAATTTTCTCTTATAATTTTCTCTGCGTCCGAGAGCCTTTATCATTCACTAAGCAATCTTCTGCAAAAGAACACGATATTTGGTTTAAAAACACTGGTGTCTTATTGTATCTTATTTAACAGTTGAATCGAAAATGATACTTGATGTTCCATAAAGTATCATTTTGTTAAAAAGGCGGGAGGATGTAATGACCCTGCTTTGAATGGTCCTCACGATTACATAGTGGCAAGCAGAAAGTCCGTGCAACAAGGGACAGCACGAGATACTTGTGCCTAGTCGAGGAAGCGAGGGAAAGCCCGAGCTAGCCTCGTGGTGAGTCGATCATGAGAAGTCAGAGAAGACGGTTGTAGTATTTGAAGATGTCGTCTTTATGTCGGGCAAATGGTTAATGTTCGAATGTGTCGCGAGTGATAAAGTGTGTATAATGTTTGAACATGTGAAATAAATGGACCAGAATAAACTGATAGAATGTATCAAGAAGCTGAGCGGCGTTTGTGTTGTCAACCCAAACCAAGGTTCATTTCAAGTCAAACCAAGAATCATGTCAAGTCAAGCCACGATTCATTCCAAGTTAAAACAAGAATTATCACAAGTGGGGTGCTTGTCCGAAGGAAATTCGAAACCACGCGGACCTCAATCATAGAAAAACAATTTTTCTTCCAAGGTAAGACAAACATGAGGAAAACAGTGTACGATACATCGTCTTTACCCGAGCAGAACCTATAAACACAGCAAGCTGCAACAGGTCAGCTGCCGACCAATGAAAACCGGTGTGTCATCTATGCCCTGCCACACACCGGATCACTAAGTTCTGCGGATTCAGGTAGTTTCATGTTTACCGAAGCTACACATCGTAAATATTTTAAATCTTGTTTGTAAATTAAATCAGGTTTGTGACGATTATTGTTTCTCACTGAAACTAGCAGACTATGAACTAATTTTATTTACAAAGGTACGCTAAGTTTTCTTACTACGGTGACATTTTTTGCATCGATTGTGCGTTTATCAGAATGGCATCTAAAAGGTTGGTAAAAAGTAAGAACACTTTGTCGCAAGTATCTTCAGCGACAACAATGAAAGATACATCGATAAGTAACCAGAAGATCAAGATGTGCATTTTTTGTAAGTACCAGCACAGTTCTTCAACTATCTGCGACAGAGATCCTAAATATTCAAGTTATATTGAAGACTTGGTCAATAAAAAATGGCGAAATAAACAAAATAACAACCTTAAAAAATGTTATTTCTGTAAGGCATTCGGACATATTGTAAAACATTGTGTTGGGAAACGGATGTTAAAAGACAAGAAAAGATCCTTGTTTGCAAAAACTAATTCAGAAAGAATGGATTTAGAAGGTATTCCTACTCTAGATTGTTCACTGTGCTACTGGAGAAGGAATCAAGGAAAAGTTACAGCTCCACATATCATGTTTATAGGAAAAAGCCAATTGAAATGTCCAGGAACTAAAAAGATTAAGAACGAAATCGTGATTGCAGAATTAGAATCCAGCAAGAGTAGTAATACAAGCAAGAAAGTTGAAACGAAAAAGACAGCAGCCACTGATACAGAGAAAAAGTCAAACTCAGAAACAATGGAAATTAATCAGCAACCACCAACTTTTCCAGAAATGAAATCTAAATCTGATTCAGCCAAGAGTCACAATCAAGGAAAAAATGGATTGGAAACGCAAAGTATGAAACAGGCAGACTGTGAAATGCTAATAGATAAACAAGCCATGAATAAAGAATTTTCATTCTTAGAGGACAATAAATATATAGATTATGATCAATTCCACAGAGCAACAAGTCAGAAATGTTGGGAAAAGTCAACTAAATGTTTGATAAACAAGAAACCAGCACAAATGCAATTAAATAGAAAATCAAATATCACTTTGGTATGTGAAATTTTTTTAGAAAAATCAGATTATAGCGGAGAAATGGTTTACTGTTTGGACAGAGAAGGTTTTTTGATGCGATTTTGGACAGCTTATATTTATTTGAAGTCGCCCTATATATCAAGACCATTGAAAGTAGTGGTAACGAGCAACATCGGAACAGATGTGATTCTGGGATACAAAGACTTCAACATTAGAGACTGTTCTAATGAAGACATACGAGTCTGGGAACAAAGTCATCTCCATCAACAAAAATAAGAACACCTGATTCAAGGAAAAGTACTATCTATTTTTATAAATTCAACTATATCAGCATTTACGAACATGAAACTATACGGTCCATCATCCTGAACATCAACATCAATCTGACATATCACCATGCAAGAAGTTCAAGATTATTATCAGTCATGAAGCTACATAGAACCACCTTCAACCAAACGATCAAGAGTAAACCTGAACAATCATCAAGAATTGACATTTTACCATTCTTCACCTGTAAGATTCTCTTATTTCAACCAAAATCAGAAATCACCAACCTGTACTGTACAGTGAATGAACAGAAACATATCAGCCACTGAATTATTCAAAATTGAAAATCACTATCAAGGAACACGAGATTTTTTTTTTCTTCAGACACCTCAAAAATCAACGATTGAAACTTCTCAAAATCATTAAATATTTAGCGACACTTCAAGACCAGCTATACAAATCATCAAGATCACCGAATACCAAACGTATCATAAAATAAAGAATGCGAGAATAATGAAGCATTCCTACAGTTTAAGCGAAGACAACAGACTACCAAAATGTCAGTATTTCTAGTGTTCTCACAAGTATTTATTGTGAAAGTTAAATCAAGTTAATTATCTAAAGTGTTTGTGTAAATAAATATTAAATTAATAATGAAGTATTTTTTAAAAAGTGCATAAACACCTGATTTCATTTATAAAAAAGTCACATACTGTGTGTATTGAACACCTTCCGTTTAATTATTAATTTAAAGGTTGCATATCAGTGTATACAGTCACTGAACACTGTTAATAGTATTGTAACATCTCATAAAATAATAATATTTTTAGTCAGTATATTTGCAAGATTACCAGCTATCCTACAAAGAGAGACCCCAGAGCAGAATAGACTGTTGAGCAAACCAAGGAATGAGAACCTTGAAAGCAAGCGCCAGAGTACAAGCAAGACACACACAGCCTGCAGGGATGGATCAAGATCAAGGATAGTTATTGGAATGAATGGGAATGAAAGAGAATAAAACAGGTATGAATGATGAACGAAATATTTGTGAGTAGTATTTTAAACTAAGGAATAGTGTACATGTAATTTACTTAGGTTAGTAGTTCATTAGGAATAGTTTAGTATTTATGT